GCTGATGCCAGGGGCTTAGGTGGAGAGCAAATGTTTTGAGAATGATGAGGGCAATGAATGTACAAATGTGCTTTACACAATTGATATACGTATGGGTTGTGATAAGAGTTGTATGAGCCCCTAATAAAATGTTATAAAACACACACACACACAGTGGCCAAGGGACCCTCCGAGGTTGGGCGCCTACCCTTCCCCCTTCCTTTTCACTTCATGATAACCGGCCTGGTTGATAAACCCAAGAGCTAAGCATCTGCTCATGGCCCGGCTCCCGAGGAGGGTCCCTCAGTTGGTCCCCAAACACCACTGTGTGCCACAGGCTGGCTGTGGACACGCGCACACACGCACACACAGGCACTACCCCCGGGAGGCGGAGGCGGAGAAGGCCGCGGCCCTGCACAATGGCACCTGAGGGCAGGGCAGCTGGGCCTGAAATGCAACCGCGCTCCTCCACGTGACAAGCTCTGGGCCTGCGCAGCAGGCAGCTCTGAGGAAGGAGTGCCTTGCCTGTGGTTCCCACCATCGGACGAGGGGTGGTGTGGCTCCAGGAGCCTCCGATGACCTCCACGAGCTCCAGGCTAGTGTCCCTTCCTGCCAGCAAGAGAGGCCATCACGGCTTCCTGGGATTTCTCGAGCCACCTGCACTGGCCTAGAGCAGAGCCAGGGAAGAGGCAGTCATCTGGGTCATCCCTGGCCCTGGGCTTGGCCGACAAGTCAGAGAAGACACCTTGCACGAGCTGACACCAATATCTAGTGTCATTTGGAGAAGAGGCCATCTAGCTGCGAAGTACGACTCACCTCCACGGAGGCACCGCAAAATGGCTAGGTCAAGTGGACACTCTACGGACAAGGGGCTGCTTTGCTTCCCCAGAACCACCGTTCCCCTGCCATCAAATACCCCCACGGTGTCCACGACAGTAGCCCAGCTGCCTCTCCCTCGTCCCCACCTCCACTGCCCAAGGAGGAAGGGTAAAAGAGGAGTTATCAGCTTCAGGAGCACTGATCACCAGCTAAGATTACAGGTAGGATGGCTGTAACCACCAGCCTTGAGAGAGAAATGAACGCAAGGGTCAGGCTCCTGGAACTCCAGAAACCTCGGATACCCTGGAAGTGCCTGGATGCCACCCACCGGCCCACTCACCACCACCAGGCATGTTCAAGCAGCCAGCAGGATTGGAGCGTGCCTGGCTAGGGGTGGCAGAGGGGCAGAAACAGCCTGTGCCGGGTGACTGAACTAACTGTGCCTGGGTGAGCAAGCCCCATCCAGAGGGTCTCCAATCAGTCCACCTTAACGGGGGCGACAACCTGCATGGAGGAAAGTGTATGTGCATGTGTGTGTGATGGGGGGAAGGGGTTGTCCTCCTACAGCAGTGTTTCTAGACGAGCTGCAACCGTACCGTGTGGATGGTGATCACCTCGTGAGTGATGACGCCCCATCAGCGATGAGCTGGTGCTGGTGGGCATCTCTGGCTAACAACCATGGATCCAGAACACATAACATCTGTCCCCGGCAAGTCGCCAAGAATCCCCTGCAAGCGGACACACCCGCTACTGCAGACGTCTCCTGGGACAGCAGAGCCCCGGGCTCCTGGGCTCCTCTCCCTGCCTCCCCTACCCCAGCTGGCAGAGCCTCGTCACAGCCCACCACAGTGCCACTCCTAGAGCCCCTTCCTCTCCTCCCAGCACTGCCCAACCTGCCTCCTCTTCCTGAGGGCACCGTTCTAGGCAGCACTGAGTGATGGCCATGTGAGGACACTGTAATGGCTTTTTAATGACTCCGGCTCCCATTATGGAATCACGGCCAAGCCCAGGCTGCCAGCTGCAGCCCCGCCAGCAGGCGTGGACAGAGGCAGGCACCGATGGTTGGGGATTTCTGGATGACCCTGGGGGCTCCTTCATGCTGCGGGGCCAGACCAGGGAGGCCCTGGGGAAGCACAAGGCACTCAACTCACAAGGGTCAGAGAAACATGGTCTGCGGCCCCAGCATCAGTGAGGGGGCAATTCCACACTCCGCAGGGGCAGTCTCTCCAGGGTCCCTTCCCTGGAGACACAAACCTCACTGCTGTCAGGCAGCCTCCAGCTCACGGTCACCCCACAGGTGTGAGAGGAGACCTGTGGGCCAGAGTCTGCAATGGCTGAGGCTGCAGAAACAGACCGTCGGGCCTTCTGGGAAGACACCAGCCCCCCACCCCCGACCCCTCTCAGTGAGCAGTCAAAGGAGTACCTGTCTCCCCAGCCTCTGGGGAGAGGGCCATGGCAGACAAGGTCAGGTACAGGAGGCACTTCTCCCAAGGGCGGGAAAAGTCACGGCACGCCAGCCTATGCAGGAGTCAGTTGCCCCTTTCTATAGAGTGCACCGGACAGGCCTATGGAGGCCTGCAGGGGCTACAACTGGCGATCTGTGAAGAACAGGAAGTTAGGGGGATGCCCTAAGGCTGGGGAGCACGCTGCTGCTGCTGCTGCAGCA